CCGGACGTTGGTCTCGGTGAAAAAGGCATGAGAAGAAGACAGGTGGGGAAGGTTTGTTGAGGAGTTGGAGTTCAGAAGCAGTGGGCTTGAATTGGAATAAGCATCTATCTACCCCAAATGGAGAAGAGTCTTTTGCATCCAATTTGAGCGATCTTCCATGTGCTGGTCAGTCACCAAAGGTCACATGTGGTCACCAAAGGCGCATGACCGAGTTACAGTAAGCGTCGGACGTGCCAGCAGATGCATACTGGAGCGCATACGGACGTGTCGGATGGAGGCGGACGGAGGTAGAGCTGAGACAAGCCATGCACCGGCTTTCCTTTGGTATTGTCGACATACTGTAGACTCCAACCTACGAGCGATGGCCTCTGACCCAAAAGCGATGGCCTCCGACCTTCTGGCAATGGCCTCCAACCTACTAGCAACGGCGTCCATGCCAATAGCAATGGCCCTGGCCTTCAAGCTAGCGATGGCCTTACATGATGCATGCTTTTCTTGCATTTGTTTCTTTCCATGTCTTTTGCCAACAGCTCGGACTTTTCGATTGCACCTAGTATATCCAAATGGAAGAACAAGTGACATCACGTGCCCACGATTCGGCCACTGCAGCAGGCAGCCCTACAATCCCGTTTAAACAAACCTTGAAGCAGCACTGCGGCACATAGTAGCTAACTATATTTTAATTGCATATTATTTCATATATATTATAATAGATAGACTGGCCTTATATCAAATCATCCCTGATTGACATGGGGATCGTAGGAACTTTTAGGAAGCACTTGAACTTGGGTGCGGTATAGATCCCCACATTCAGATAAGTCAAGAATTCACAAGCCGACTATCTCAGGCGCTACTGGATTGGCTATCGCTCCGCAGCCACGCGGAAGGTTTGTATTGTGCCTCTCGGATTGAGCCCACTCGGATGTCTTGGAACACTTCGGTGTGATCCGTTTGGTGGACTACAGTAGCATGGCTACTAGGAGCAAGTGCAATACTACTAGTAGCAGATACTGGTAGCTTCTTGCTACTAATAACGATGCACTTGTTCCTAGTAGCGATGCCCTGTGCAGGGTTCTTTGCGAAGGGAACACATAACATTTGCCACGAAGGAAGATGCAATCTCTACAGTCACTATGCGGTTCTTGAATGATATTGTGCCGATGTATTATAATGAAAAACACCTCAGAATCACAGCAACTCCTGTCATAGGATGTCATGAGTCTTTAAACCATTGCTATTGGCTTGTGTTTGGACGCAATTGAGTTCCTATCCCCATCCTCAACTCCACGTACTGTGCTGTGAAGGAGTTGTTTGATCCAAACAACTCCGCCCTGACCCTGAGGAATTTGCTGACCCGGCAAAAGAACACCTTGGAGGCGAAGAAAGATGGTCGTTCTGCCGTGGGCGAAGTTGGCCAACCACTGCGGCATGGGTTTTGACAGGTCTTCCCATGCTTCAGCAGGTCTGAGAATGGTGATGAGCCGCCATTGATCGGGAGGATTCCATGGTCAATCATGTTGTTTTGATGTAGCAGGTCTCATTAGGAGCAGTTCAGTCTAAGAGTGTTTATGTAAATGTTAAACTTCCTTTGCTTGCATGCAGTTTCTACGCATAGCCCTAAAAAAACTGCAAGGAGTCACTTTGTCGGATGCCAAATGCAATCCAATGATATCCAGGATCCCACGAAACCTTGATCAGAAAGTTGCTATTTGGTCCTTCAACCGGACCTTTAAAGGGTTGTGTTACGGCCTTGCTTACTATTGGTTGGTTGAACAAGCACATGCTTTTCTCCAGGTGAATCACCAATAGGTGTATGATGCCTGCCATTGACCCTCTATGATTCCCTGAACATGATTTTATTAGAGGAGCAAGGACGCTACTAGGTGCTCCTGGCATCGCTACTAGGAGCAAGGACGCTACTAGGGGCTCCTGGCCGTACTACTAGGAGCAAGGACGCTACCCGACCATCAGGGCAGCGTGCCCGCGCCTCAGGCGCCGGTGGAAGAGACAGTCGCGGAGATCCAGCGACGGTATTTGGTGCATAACGCACATGCAGGCAGCATGTGTCCGGTGAAAACGTGGAACGCTTGTTTCATGCTTTCGAACGTGTTTTGGATGCGTAGCTCGATGTGGTCAAATTGATTCATGAAGGTGGTGGGCTTGATTTGCACCCTGTTCGGCTTGATTGGAAGGTTTGCAGGTACTGTGGGATGACACCTGTGGTGACACCCGCTTGATTGCTCACATACATTCTCAAACATGTTCAAACGATGGCCAGACAATGTGTCAGTCAGCATGTTGTATCCTGCTCTCTCGACTGACAATGCACCATATGTGTTTTCGAGCAGGTAGCTATACGTGGAAGCGGCTTGGGAAGCCTTTAAACATGGAGAAGACGTTGGCTGAAAATGGCATGGAGGATACATGGGCTTTCAGTGGGGTTTTCAGTGGTGACATGAATGTAGACTCCGAAAAGTGCATTCAAGGGCATTACTACTAGGAGCAAGAAGCTACTAGTAGCTCCTGGCATTTGCACTAGGAACAAGAAGAGGAGGCCATCGCTATTAGGTTGGAGGACATCGCTACTAGGAGCAGGACGCTACTAGACTAGGGGCTCCTGGCCTTACTACTAGGAACAAGAAGCTACTAGGGGCTCCTGGCATCGCTACTAGGAGCGATCGGACGCTACTAGTAGCTCCATCAATCTCGGACCTTCAGTTCGCACCTCGGTGTTTGTGCCCGGCACCTTCGCTCCTTCGTGAGACGAGCTGCGGGTGGATTTGATCACATGGCCAATCAAATACCGTTGTTACACGTGCTTTTGAGGATCCTCAGAGTGACAGTGCTTCGCTGCACCTGCCCACTGCACGTTCCGAGATGTGAGGACGAGACTGAAGAGTTCCTCCGCTTGTCCATCGATCCGGACAACCATATTCCGGTGATCCATTTGCACTTCAACGATGACCTCACAGAGGTGGGTGTGTGGAGACCTACATCCAAGGGTCAGCACCCTCCAACAAGTCTCCTCTGCTTTTGCTGACCCAAAAGCCGCAGGTGGTGACCTGTGGAGGGTGCTGGTATAGAACACAGTGCATGGGGAAGGGAGGTAGGTGGCAGGGTTTCTTTGTTTTAGGCAAGCAGCAGAATTTTCCATAGATTTGAGGCTACCCCAGGCCACTGGGATCGGTTCACCACCAAGAAAAGGAAGAAGAACTCAAAGCTGGAAGACCTTCGGACGAATTGAGGTTGGAAACGAGCTCGACCAAATCCATCCAGACCAAACCTCCTCGTTCGCCGCGGCGAAACGCTTCGTTCGCCGGCCGCAGGCCTGAGAGTTGCCAGAGGGTCTCTCGACCCGGTCTGGTGGAAACTTCGGTCGTGCAGAGTCCAGTGAAGGGAGCGGTACATCTTAGAAGCTACGAACGGAGCAAAGGGCATCGCTACGAACGGAGCGATAGGACGCTACTAGTGGCTCCTGGCCTTACTACTAGGAACAAAAAGCTACTAGTCGGCTTCGGAGAATCTGTCTGCAAATCAGTGTACCATCTGCCTTTTTGCCCGCTCCCCCCCCCTCCCTACAAGCTACTATAGGCTGAGTTAACTTCTAGGTAGGACGCAGGATAGCTCACGCACTAATGATTTGGCTTCTAGATTTTTAGGGACACTTGCATATGTCTTACATCTTGGTACACTCAAGGTTTAATCAACTTGGGTCCACTCTCCATAGCCGACCAGGTGTCCACAAGTCATGTAGCATGGTCGTAACGTTGCAATCCTGCAGGGAGAGGGTCCAGGGAGAACTCGGTCTGACCATGCAGATCATGGGGCCAATGGGTGAACTCTTCCAACTGATTCGATTTTGCAGCGTATTGCTGTTGCTTCCGATCGAACATGCTTCTGGAAGTTCAAGGGAGCATGGCATCTCACATGATGTCCCTACTAAAGCCAAGAAGTTCCCCCTTGCTCAACCGGTATTGTGTTGTTTTTTCGTACTCTGGAGAGTAACACTCCAAAACAAGCATCGACACTCACGGCCGAATCGTCTCACTCGTCGTGTCACCCGAGCTCGAAGCCAGCACTTGGGCCTGTTGAGATGCTTCTTTTCTTTACACTGCTGAAGTCAGTAAAGCCTCAAGACAACTTGTAGCCTGTGAGAACAAGGTTTCAGCTTTTCGCTTCAAACACTTGGACTGACAAGCCATGACAAGCCATACCATGCCAATTGCCAATTTGCATATTGTATGTCTGGACCGTGCCAAAACAAAGCGCGACAACATCCGAGATCGGACGAGAGTTTCACTTCGACCCTTTGAAGGTTGAAGGGCAGGGCGGAGGAAATGGTCCGTGCCAGCTCAAAGAAGCGATCGAGAGCGATGATCGCATCACTTGCAGAGGGAAGAACGTGATCGTATCACTTGCACCATGCCATACCATGCCTTAATTAGGCGCCTAGGTTCATTTCGCGTAGCTTGGAGAAATTCTTCGGAGAATGATCCAGGAGGGAAACGAATAATGACACGGACCGACACCCAAAGATCTTCATGTCCAAAAGCTTTGAAGAACGATAGGGGGACACTGGGCACATGCTCCCATAAAAACACTCCAAACACATCTGAACGCCCTTTTCTCAGTGGCTTACATGCTAGTGACCTGGTCCAGGCATTGCATATTGCAGTAGGAAACTAAATGTACCGTGTGCAATTGCAGTCATGTGTTGTTTTGTCGCTTGGGGTTGGGTGACCCCTTGCAAGAGAAGGGGCTTCGGTGCTGTGCGTGCAGATGTGGGGCAAAGCTCAGACATGCCCGCTAGAATCTCAACCACAAAATAAACATCGATGATACTTTGCATATCTCATATAATATGTTTGTAGTCTATATATAGATTATATTATAGTCATTATTATATAGTATATTCATTGTATAATCCTTTAGTCTCTGACGACAGCTTTAGTTCTGTCAATGTCGGCTGTGCAAGAATCTGAAGACAGCATTTTGACCAGGCGCTACTGGGCCAGAGTGATGGCTTGGTACATGGGGCTGTGGACAATGCCGCCTGGAGCTTAACCTCTCAAGCTCTGAACCGGCTTGAGTCACTGTAGCAAGAGCTTTCGGGAGAACCCAAGAGAATCCAGGTGCTCTTCACGTTGAATAGGTATGTCACTGTCAGAGATTCTCATGTGTGCTCAGTGGGATAAATCGGAAAGACCCCGCTTGAGGCTTGCCTGAACCCACAAGACATTCTTACTGTGTTACTGTTTTGGGCCACAGTTGTTTTTGTCCCATTCTCAAGTTTCCTCAGGAATGCACGAATTGTTGCCACACAGAAACTGCCACGATGCTCTAGACTAGATACTAGATTCGCATTGGTGGGATTTTTTGGACCCTTTTGTTCCTAGTAGCTTCTTGTTACTAGTAGCGATGGCCTCCAACCTACTTGCGATGGCCTCCACCTATTTGCGCCCTTGCTACTAGTAGCTCTATATATTGGACTACAAGCTTCGCACTTCATGTTAGACTTAAAGCCTCGAATTGCTGGGCTGACCAACATCGACTACTCAGATGGCCACCATCAAGGAGGTCTTGACTTTCAGGCGCTGGATCGCCGAAGGTGTTTTTTTTCTTGTTTTTCGGCTGTCAGAGCTGTCAAAGCCAGAGTTGCTACAGCGTGATCTGGGGAACTGCATGAAGGATTGACAACTCTTGTCATGATGTTCCACTATATTATATATTATGTATAATTATGTTTCAATAAATGGGGAATCTAACGAAGGTGGCCAGCACCGCGACAATGGGACTAGCGAGGCCTTTTTTGGTTTCCATCCGCAAGGGGCTTGCACATGACCCCAACTAGTTGGTAAGTTGTCCAATTGGCCCGCAAGTTGTTCTCCCTTCCGAGAATGGAAGCAGCATTCGCATGCATTCGCCAGATTGAGCTTAACCGACGCATTCTACATGCAATTATTGTAGAATCCATCAAGATAATGCCCGTCCCGAGTCAGCAATATATTCGTATGTTAATATAAAGATACACAGTACACACATCTTCTCAGAAGACCCTCTGCCGGCTGAATGTCTTCCAGCCCTTCCTATGTAGTGGACATGTGAATTGAGAAGTTTTTTGACAAGTTGAAGTCGTTATTGTGTGATGTAGTTTGGTTTGAATAAGGTGCAGAACTATTTTGCACACTAATGGTCAATGTGTGCTATCCGACCGAAAGCTTGGTCACTGCAACAGAAGCTGTGCCAGGCTCCAAGAGTCTGCAGTGGATGCCATCTTGACTGGCAAGCGGAAGGCCTGACCCAAGGGAGTCATCCGGTCAACCGGGTGCTTTGGAGATGCCATCGCCCTTCTCCTTGTGTTCCATTCCAACGCAACCGACAGGGGACAGGGGTTGATGGCTTTAGACATTGCGAGCGCCATTTTCTCAAAGAACAGCTCTTTCTCTACGGACCCAGCGAACGAAGGGCAGGTGTTGCACAGTCTTTTCCCATAAAGTGAGGTGTTGCTCATTTGGGTCGACCAACATGCTCTAACATGCCCCATACAATAATAGGAGAGAAGCCACATGAAGGAAGGATGATGAGTCGTTTGCACATCCGTTCTTCTTTGGTGATATTGATCATTTGATGACATGGATAGACTTTGGATGGGTCATCAGATTGCCAGCTCGGGAATCGCAGAGCTTGAGATCCCAGTCAAGAGTTCGTGGACGTTTCAGCACAACCCCATGTTCATTGCTAGTGCTACTACTATACAGTTGAAAACAAGAAATCCTTCCCCACTGGACAGAATCCATCACCACAAACGGTGTTTCATTTCAAGTGGTGCAGATTTTTTCCTGTTACCGATGCACTTTTGGGGGGTTCCTTCCACATACCGTCACCGAGTCCCTCGTTTTTCGGTGCAGAGCACGGTCGAGAGGACTGGCCCTGGTCGAATGGTTGGTACGTTTGGGATGTGGATTGTTTCTAATCTTGCTCCTAGTAGTACGGCCAGGAGCCCCTTGTAGCGTCCTTGCTCCTAGTAGCGATGCCAGGAGCCTCTAGTAGCGTCCTTGCTCCTATGATGCACACATTTCGGCAGCTCCAGGGGCAAAATCCCACGAAAGTTGCAAACTTTTCTCAGACGCTGAGTGAGGTTCAGGCTGCGGGGCGCGGGATTTGCTGTGTATGTGCGTGTGCGTGTGGGTTGGAGATTGGACACTCCCAACGTGAGATACCTTTGTGAGAAGCCCACCCTGGCCAGTCAAAATTTGCCTAACAAGGGTAAGTAGAATTTAGACATGAACACATGGGAATTGCAACTACAGTCTTTAAATCTTAAGGACATGGTCCCTAGAACTTATTGGCATTATCCAGCGAAGCGGCGCAAGAGCGTCAAACACAAAAGGTTGGGCTCGATCGAACGAAGTCGAAGCGGCACGGCACACAAAGCACCGATTTATGGCAGGCGCGGCGATGCACCAAGGTGCTCAAGTCGTGAGCTAGAAAAAAGGGGCCCCTGAGCCAACAAACACGGTCATGTGAGAGTATGGTGAGGTTTCCATGTCATCCATGCAGGAGCTCATGACCGAATCCGTTGCACGGGGAAAAGAGGACATCAGTGATCAGTCCTCAGCGATCACTGAAGCTACAGGCTCAGGTGGCTCTGGCATCGTCTCAAAAGCGGTCGTCGAGCACAGCGCATCAGCTTGCCGAAGAGCTCTGTCGATCTTGTCGACTGCCGTCAGGCCCAGCTTCTTGTTCTTTTTGGCCGCCACGAAGTTGGGATCGTAAGCGACCGTCCAGTGCCATGTGGCCAGGAATTTGAGAAGGCCTTCACGACTATCGGCCCTCTTCTTCGTCATGGAGTCGGCCAAGTCGTAGTCCGAAGCGAGCCACCTCAACTCGCTGCCACATCTTCGCAAGTTCTCGCGAAGTTGGAAGGCCTGAAGCGCTGCCCTCATGTTCGTGAGCCCTAAGAGCGGGCTCTCGTTGGTCTCGACAGCGTCGTAGCCACCACGGCTGTCGGTGCAGACGACTCCCTTCACCTTCATGGCCTGGAGCTCGGAGGATGCCACCAGATCTCTTCGAAGGTCTCGATGGTGGAGTCCGGCTCCGTTGATCTCAGACCACAGCAGGCGTGCTCGGAAGTTGTTGTCCTCTGACTCCAGGACTGCCTGCACTTCGGCATCGTTGGAGGCGATGGCCTTTCTCTTCAATTTCCATGTCTTCCACGTCAGGAGGACCATCGGCGTCACATCGCCTGACAAGGTGTCAGGACCGGCCAGGAGGGAGATCATTCCTCCCGTGCTGTCGCCCTTTGGCCTGTTGCTGTGGGCCTGGTCTCCCATGGTGATGACGATGACGTCGGTGCAATGCTTCACCTTGGGAGGTCGAAAGAAGCGAAGCCGTTGAGGTTGGACACGGACCTCGCTGATCATGTTCTGGATCTCTCTTGCATGTGTGGTGGTGCCCTCAACCAGGATCTCCGTCAGGAGAAGGTTGCACCGAGAGCATAGTTGCGGTTGCGTCTGGATGGCCAACCACTGCAAGGATCCAAGTGCCGTTCGGCAAGAGGCAATCTCCTGGGGCGTGAGTGCCTGATCAGGAGTTCGAAGGTGCTGCACAGAGACTTCCAGGTCAGGTATGCCCTCAATGTAGGCGTCCTGATCAATCTCAATGCGGAAGGTGCCGTCAGCCTGGTCGATGGTGTTGATGTCAGTGCCAGCATGGCGGTACGACCGTCGTTTGATCGTTCCCCACTGGTAGGCCTTGTCGATCTTCTGGCAGATCTCAACCCACTCAGGTGACGCGCTGTTGCCAACTCTGTGAAAGTCGTCCACGTGCCCTCCCATCGCACCGAGCAGAGCGGGAGTAGAGGTCACCGGGTCAACGTCATGCTTGCTGAACCAGAGCCAGAGGCACCGCTCGCCAACAGCAGGAACTGCGCCAAGGCCCACAAGAGTCTTATGCAGGTCGAGCCATAGCCCTCTGGGAGCTGTTGTTGAACCATATATATTGCGCAGGATGCGAAGGAGAGCGTCATGAGGTAGTCCCATAGCCTCCTTAAGCTCAGCAACTCCTGATGTCCAGAGACGTTAATCGGCCTCGGTCGGTTGTGTTTGCAGGAAGGCGGTGGCAAGATCAAGACCACAGATCTCCCATTGGTTGACCACGGAGAGGAAGTAGAGCAGCGACCGTCCAAGTCCACTTTGGACAGGTGCAGCTGTTTTGAAGTTCCTGTCCATCAAGCTTGGATGCTGGAAGCCAACGAGTACGATGCGGGCCTTAGCTTTCTTGGTGGCTTGAGGATTCACCACCGTGTCAGGGTTGTTGTGGCTATCTTGTAGTGCTTCATCACGTTCATCAGGTGGTATGGGCTTCCAAGTGAGGACCCATCTGGCCTTCAAGATTCTGCCACTGCCATAGGCCTCGCGGATCTCCGCATCATCCAGACATTTGCGGACTGCGCTGTTCTTGAGAAAGGAGTTGACCTCCTTCATCTTGGCACGCTGGAAGAGGACCTTCTCGAGGTTGCTCAAGCGCTGCAGGGACACTTCTGAGTTGTTCAACTTCTTGGCCATGTAGAGGACGGGGTTCCGAAGAAGAGCCTTTCTCTTGGTGTTAGTCTCAGGCTCCACATCGATGTACATGACCAAGACGTCCAAGTCATCTTGACATTCGGTGAGGTAGCTGAAGACTTCCTTGTTGTCAATCTCGGAGTGAGATTTCAGCTCCTCCACCCACTTCAGATCGTACTCACTGCGAGCTCTTTTGGGATCTCTCTCTGAAGGTTGTGGTTCATCTTCAGGAGGTTCATCAGCAGCGGCATCAGGAAGACTCGGTGTGTAGTCTTCGTAGTCATTGGCAGTTTCCTCAGCCTCTGGTAGGGCCGAGTTGGAAGGCCGTGCCGAGCTCGAAGCGTGAGCAGGAGGTACAAAGTGTTGTACTTCACGATCTGGAGGTTGTAGTCCCAATGGACTGCTGCGATGTTTCAGCTTGTAGTCGGACATCTGCAACGTGGACTTGCCAGTGGCTCGTCGTATTGGAGCATAGGTTGCAGGATCCGGAGAGAACGGAAGGTTCGGGACTTCAATCTCGTCCTCCTTTGGGAGTTCATCCAGGAGGTCAGTGAACTCTCGCTTGGGCAGGATGTCTGCCAAGGATTTCCACTTGGTGGGATCCTCATCGGCTGTCATCTCGTACTGGAGGCGCTCAACCTCGGTCACTGGCCGAACGCTGTGAACTGAGCATCTGTAGATGCGACTCCCGATGAGCACCCACAGGATGTGTCGGCGAGGATCACCTTCTTCTTGATGAGGTAGTACCTCTTGGAAGACAACTCTGCCAGGGCCAACCCAATGAGGTCGTCCAGACTTCTTGAAGCCGCCACGGCTGCCCTTGTGTTGATCAGCTGGTTGGAATTGGCGCCAGATCTTTACCAGCTGCATAGGCGAGAAGGTTCTCAAGGGCTGCCGAACCAGAGTGTGGGAGAGCTTGCTCAGAACTCTCTTTGATCTGGTCTTCACTGCAATCTCTTCAGCCTGTTGTCGGGCTTGAACGAGACGGGCAAAGTCAGTTGAAGGTTCCACCTGCTCGTACGTGCGGTGGTCCTCATCGGTCAGGGAGTAGTGCTTCCCGAAGGCCCATTGCTGAGCAGAATACCCAGCAGTGTACTCAGTTTGGTTCAGAGCTGAAGTGGCCAGAATCAATGTATGAGCCGGCCGAAGATCCAGTTGCTCCATCTGGAGGACGGTTGCCACTTGCTTGATGTCCTGGATGCCAGCTTCTAAAATGCCATGTGCCCAAGGTTCCTTCTCAGGAGGGTAGTGCACGGCAATGTTGGACTCCCGCAGGAAGGTGTTGAAGCGGTCGGAGGTGAAGCTTTTACCATTGTCAACTATCACCATCTCAGGCTTTGGGAAGACGGAGAGCCAGCGTTCAGTGAAGGCTTCAATGATGTGGTCAGCAGTTTCAGCTCGCATCTCCATGTTGGGGTACTCCATGATGGGCCAGACCACACGAAGCTTCGTAGCTAGATCCATCATGAGGACGAACTTCACCTTGTCCTTAGTGGCTGGAATCTGCCACTCTGCGGTGTCCATGCCGACAGCTTGCCATGCACTCCACATAGAGTGAGTGCTCGCCGGTGGAATGTTCTTGCTGGAAGTGCCGCCAGGTCGAATGGCCTCACAGGCCGGACATCTGTGCTCCAAAGCCAGCTCAGACTTCCAGGCTGGTTGACCGGCGTTCTTGATCAGCTTGGCCAAGTTCTTGTTGGTGGGATGACCAGCTGCCTTGTGGAAATGAGCTACTCTTGCCATCCATTGTTTCTTCTCTTGTTCAGAAGGAACTTCCACTGGTTGTAGGGCTTCTTCAGCAGGAAGAGCGTTGAGGGTGTCACCGTCATCGTCGGCAAGGAGGTGGAGCTCTTCATCCTCCAAAGCAGCGGGTGAATCCTGCTTCATGAAGAGGAGCCGAAGATTGCGATCAGACACCATCTCAGCTCTCCAAAATCGTGCCCAGGACTGAACAAGCTTCCAGGGATAGTAGGCGCTCTTGGCGGTTTCGGCGCCTTGAACCAAGGTGTGTGAGTGGCCTCCATGGCATACCTTGGTCTTGTAGGTGGCATGGAAGTGTTCACAGGTGGTCTTGACAAGCCACTTCTTGTGAAGATGATGTTCACCTCGAGAGTCCATCATGCCATAGACGCAGCCGTCGATGCGGCATGAGAGCCAGGGGATGTCCAAGGCTGCTAGGAAGGTCTCGAGGTCGATCATTGGAGGTTCTTGCCACCCTTGACATGGATGAGTCCACTCGAAGTAGATCTTGGTGTCGGGAGCTTTGGAAAGGGTGTCCTTCACAAAGTCGTTCATATACCAAAGCATCTTTCTTTCCTTCTTGCGAGCTTGCCGAAGTTCTTCAGGTCGTGAAGCATAGTTGAGGTAGGTCCAGCGGCAGAACTTGGTGCAAGGAAGGCTGAACCAAAGCTTCCGTGGTTTCTTCTTGGATCGAAGGACTTTCATTCGCTCCCAAGTCTCTTTCCTGTAGAGATCATAGCCTTGTTCAAGATTGATGCGGCGAGGTTGAAGTCCTTGACGTTGGCATGCTTCCGACAGCCAACTGTGGGGAGCACATGC